GAGACAGCGCAGAGGAGCAGGGAGAGAGGAGCCAGAGCAGGCTGGGGTTGCGAGGGGCCAGGAGAGACGAGGAGAGTCAGTCGAGAGCACCTGTCTTGTCAGGAGCTCATTGGATGGGCCGGGTGAAACGACAGGAAGGTGATGTGAAGGGCTGGATCCCGCTGTCCTCTCCCTCTCTCTGTCTCTGCTGTTTTTCTCTCTATTTTTATCGGGAACATCTGGCGGCGGTGATGTCAGGGGCTGTAATCCGCTCACAGCCCAAGCGGGACAGTAAGCTGGGATAGAGAGGGCTGGCAGGGGTCGGCGGGGGGGGGGAGTGAGGTTGATTCTTTTTTACCCCACCCACTACCCACTACCCCATCAGGCCCCACAGCCAGAGTGCTCGAACCGGGGACAAGCGACCGGGCCGAGACTCTTCCCCGAGACTGTCGGTAGCCCCTCATCTTATTGGGGGGAGTAAGATCACAGGACCACCAGGTCGAGAGATCGAGAGATCGAGAGAGAGGTTACGGAGGAGAGCTGCTCTTCAGCTCATCCAGCCAGCACTCGGTAGCTCACTGATCCAGGAGAACTGGCTCCTCGTTCCAAAACAAGGGTCAAACACGGGCGGCCGAAGAGGCTACTCTCTGTGTCATTGACCTCTTCGTTGGGAAGCAAGTAAGATTCTAGGCCCCTTCGTTACAACCACAGAATTGAAATCGAGGAATATCACATCAGGCAGCATGGTGGCCAGTGGTCAGCATTGCTGCCCGACAGGACTGGGGTCCCGGGTTCGAATTCCTGGGGTGCTGTCTGCGTGGAGTCTGCATGTTCTCCCTGTGTTGGTGTAGGTTTCCTCCAGGTGCTCCAGTTTCCTCCCACAGTCCTGCTGGTGGGTTAAACTGGCCCTGGCGTGAGTGTGTGTGTTTCTGTGTCTGCGCGCGCCCTGTGTCCAGCGTCCAGCGTGAACCCTAGCTGGGACAGACTCCGGTTCCCCTGGGTCAAATAATGCAGTTAGAAAAAGGGGTGGATATTATGTGAAAGCTGTGCGGTTCCGTTCTCCTGAGGCCGCAGTCAGGCGGCTGCGTGCGTGACTGGTCCCCAGCACACGGCGCTGCTCAGGCGGTGTGGGGAAGGGGGACTCCTCGGCCCAGCCCAGGACCTGCGGCTGCCATCTCTCCTGGACTGTTCAGGCATGCGCCTCTGTAGTCCCAGCCCCCCAGCCCCCTCTCCTCCGTGAATAGCTGAGATGCTTGCAGAGCTGGTTGCTATGGCGACAGGGGCGTTTGAACAAGTCGTCATTCAGGACTGCACAATCCCGCTGGCAGCCGGCCAGCGTCCCTGCGTGCGCACACACACACACCCCGCCGTCTCAGGGCTGGTGGGCCTTCTCTGCGCCGATCCGCAGTTCAGGTGCCGTGTGTGTGCGAGGGAGCAGGCAGGTACCAGCTGCTGACACAGCCCAGGGGTCCGCCCTGTTTATCACGCAGTGTCAGAGTGTAAACTGTGAGTCAGAATTGCGTTTCGCCTTCTGTTGACATTGAGGTCAGTTACAAAACTAGCAGTCTGTGGGATTAGTACAGTCCCAGTACAGTAGACCAGTCCTGTTACAA